TCAATCGTCACACCTTTTTCAAATAAAAGTCCCCAAAAATTGTCATACATCTACACCGGACCAATATGCAATTTAAGGTTGAAAATGTTTGGAAATGAAAGATTTTAAAAGGTACAATGAAATTACTCAAAATTTGTACGATAATCTGAGTTAACTAATCTTTAACAACACTTACACTGTTTTGGTTATATCTCAAAACTTTCTTTGTTATATCTCAAAACATATTCCACGACTTGTTTTTACTTACCAGTTTAGTCTTGCAAATAGCCGCGGGCGAAAACTGAAATTCAATTTATTGAAGTGTTCATCGCGCGAGAACTGTTTGTCTATGCACTCTTTTTGGGACGTTTTTCGGTGTGCGTGTTTAATTAACTCAGAGCCTGCCAACATTTCACCTGTCCCTAACGATTATCTGAATAACTAATAGGTGAAAACAATTACAGCCATAATCCATCTCAACTCTTTTTTTCCCTTGCAACACTCTCTATAGAATGTTCTCACATACATAAATTTCAATAAGAAAACCACATTTTTAGTTAAGAAATCTTTGAAAAAATCGCTATTCTTGTAGAGTTTTTCATCCTCAGCATGCAAGTATAAATGACGTGACTTGCAGATCTCATCAGGATAATTTTGCAGAAAACGAGAACAGATTTCAGGGATTGTTTTCAGCTGAGACTAACTACAATAAACGAAATGACTAAAATAGGTCACTCAATACGCGTTCTTTGCAGGATTTCTTGTCAACACCAAACCAAACAGGTATGATCATCGCCTAACAAACCCAACGATCCATTTCAACGCGGAGAAACTTCAAAAATTCGAAAACTATATTAATCCACTTACCTTTTAGAGGCAAATTTCTCGAGCAAGCAGAATTAGGCTACAAATTTGGCGAGGAAAGGACATCCTGTAATTTTTTTCAACAGATGATTCAAGTTTATATTGTTCTTGGATAAAAGGATCCCGCCTCGGGGCATCTTCAATCCGCTAACATCTGTTATGTCGTTTTGTATCTTTATAATCTATGGCAACGCATTCACAGTTCTCCTTCTAAAGGGCTCAAACACAGGTCAAGCTGTAAACAATACGTCTATTTATAACCAAAGTCGCTCCGACACTAAATAGTTTACCTCACCAAAAAAATTGAAGACAACTGGAAGTTTTCTGTGCAATGAATAACAAGCACTAGAGATTATAAATTTATTTTCCTTTGATAACCAGGCTATTGGTGTAATCACATGATTTCGAGTGCAATTTGGAGTAAATAAGCACGAGTTAATTTTTTTAAAGACTAATAATATACATGAAAAAATACTCAGTTCTGATTGGTTAAGATAAATGCAGTTTTCAGGAAATTCAGTGCAGAAGAGGGTTAATTCAGTGCAAAAGAAGTAACAAACCAGACATTCTAA